TAAGTGTGTGGTATTGTAAAACTAAAATTTGAACTTATACTTTAGTCGTTTTCCAACACTGTGTTCAAGTGTCAAATATTAAAAACTTTTTCGAACTCAGTAGGAATATTTTTAAGAAACCAAGAAGTCAAATTTTATTTCATTTCATTCAAAACTTTTATTCTCATCACTTCGTTTCGAATATTTTCTGTTAAAAGAGCAATTAAAACACTCATTTGGAAGATGTCAATTACTAAGTTAATTCGTCCAGTCTCTGTCCTCTCCAAGTTGAGTGAGTATATTTCATAAATTTCATTTAGCGTTAAACAATTAAATTCATTTTGATTTAGTTAATCAAACTCCGGTGATGATTCGGTTCAAGTCTGAAAAACCGAAGGCCAAGAAACCGAAGTCTCCTTGGGCTGATGGTGGTGAACATGCAACTTTGAATGATATTCCGCTTCCGGAAGGCAGTTACAAGGAATGGTATGATAAGAGGAACGGTCGCTATCATTTATATCTCATAAGTGGTGTACTTGTTTTTGCCATTGAGATGGGTTTGGTGAGTTGTTTTTGAAAATAAAAATTAATGGATTAAATTAGTAATGACATTTCACTTGTAGTGGAAAGCTGGAACTTTTGATGATATTATGTACCTAAACAACAAGATACCGGAGTATCCATATGATGAGGACTGCGAGGACGATAAAAAGAAAGCAAAAAAAGAAAAGAAAGAAGAAGAAAAGCTAGAAAAAGAGGCAAAAGAGGCAAAAGAAGGGAAATAAGAAGTCTACACAATTTACCATTTACAATTTACAAAAACTTAAAATGTTAGCTTTGATCTACAAATAAATGCCCGGCATTCCTTGTGTTTTTTATCTATGATAATTTGGGTATTTCTATAGTGTAATTAGTTTTTAAATTAGTCGATTTTTTTTTAACAACTGCTGTCATGCTAGAAAGAGACAGGTGCCATCATATTTAAACACTTACATTATGTTATGCACGCAGTCATGTAACGAATGGTCGCATCTCTGTTATACAGGCTTGGTGGTCGTGAAATATAAGGCTCAAACCTAAACTTATTGTAAGGTAAACTTCTGTCTGACTTTTGAGTGCGTCGGTGTTGTCATCACAGCAACAGTGATGATAGTTTGTAGTATATGATACTAGTCTCTAGTGGTAATAGAAGGTATGCACCTTGCAGAGAGTCAAACTATAATTTCTAATTTCGTACTGTAACTACTATTTTGATTTATTTTGGTTGCTTCTAAGAGACTGTTATACAGACAGTCATATGGCTAGTGGTCATAACAATTATAAGCAATTATATAGTTATAACGAAAAGACATGTTATACAGCGAATCTTATCACAATTGTCAATTTCCTGCTTTTTTACTATTTTGTAGGTTTTGATGAGGCGAAATTGCTCTCTCGCTCTTATTTATTGTACATTGAAAACAACAACAACTATTTATTTTTGTTTTAATTTTTGAGTCGTTACTTCGAAAATGTTTAAATGCGGTTATTTTTGTTTTTTAAAATATACTAACTTTTATTTCGAAAGTTAGTATATTTTAAAAAACAAAAATAACCACATTTAAACAACAACTATGTTTTGACTATGTCTACATCCGTCTACAAAAAACTACATTAGTTCTATAATTTAGAAACAATAATATTAATTAATATAATTTTGTGTTATTTCCAAAAACACTTTGATACTCTATCGTACAATCTCGCAGTATCCTGTGAACTTAGCATATTAGAAGCAGAGATGTTACAAAGGATATATTACCTTGCACTGGACACTGACTACTGGCAGGATATGCTCATACATAGGCTCTCCATATTACAGTTGTAAAAAATTTGTAAAGGATCGGGCCTAGCAATCTGTAATTTGTAAATTCAGAATAATAAGAGGATATGATGATGTCGTGATACATGTCAAGGTAATAATAGTATATAAGTAGTATTTACACATTTATATACCTATCGGTATTATTTCATTAATTAAAAATTTAAGCAATTATAAATTATGTGATTTGTAGAGCGATGAAGTAGCAGACCTGAGTGTTACAGAGAACCTTTAAAATGGATTATAATTGAGTTCAAACATCATAAATATAATTCTTTTTCGCTTTATCCAACATTAACAAAAAATATTAAAGAATTAAATTTGTTGTAAACCCTAAGACACTGCCAAACTATTTCATTCTATGAAGGAGATTGGCGTATTTGATTTTGTAAAAATATTCTATTTAAAGGAATAAATTTTGTTGAATATTAAGCTAAAGTCACATTTTTCCATTTGGACTCATTAGCAGAGCAATAAATTTTATCTTAAATACGTAAACGTTACTCATGTAGGCACATCTTAAGCATCGTAATTAGGTGGCAACACTTTAATGTAATTTCGGCAATTAAGAGGAGCGCTGAAAATGCCTACAATGAGTTTAATTTAATTAACTTAACCAATTATAATAAACATTACGAAGGGAAATAGTTTCAAATAATTTATTGCACAATACAAATAAACGATTTAATCCATTTTCGAATATTTGTAGTCGTAATGCCTAGCTGAAGAGATGACGTTGGAGAAGAAAGGAATTATATCAAATTGTTGATAATCAGCTTGACCATAATGACTTTAAGCAGCCTTCATAACAAAGTTTATTGCATTTTAACTCAATTTAAATCCTGGCCATAAAATTCTGTCCTAATTACCGTTAATGCAACCTTTGAAGCGCCCCACGCAAGCAGGAACTAACAAAAGAGAAAAAAATGAACTTTTAAAATGAAGGGAAGACATTAACCCACTTTATTAAAACTAAGCCATAATTCAGTGCTACACAGCCAAGTCACGTTGTACGGTGCTCGACTGAAGTCGAGGACAATTCAAAGGGTTGAGACGAGCAATAACGACAACAACAACAACAACAGCAACAACAAAAATTAACAAAAATGCTTTTATCGCAAGCTAATTTAATTCAACGCTTTAATGGATTATTGGTGGCATACTTCAGGGCGCCTAGCTTTAAAATTATGTTTTCGTATTATAAAATCTCAATAAACTGAAGTTACTTGAAAGAGTAGAATCTATTGGAAAAGTTTTTGTTAAGCAGAATAAAGCAAAAATTGAAAGTGCTTCCAGACAATTAGGCCAAACAGAAAAGCTTAGACACAAAAAAGGAGACGCAAATAATCCTTTTGTTAGTCTAACAAACAACGCATTTCATTGACGCATTTCCATACAACGTAGTAGATCTCAATATTATGAATAGAATGGATGAAAATAATGGGTTGACCATTAAATTATGACAAAAATCAATTTAAAATTTAGTTTATGGACACAACCGCTGAAAAAATTCATAGGAACATTTTGGTGGAAAAGGATTGAGTTAAGTAGATTACAGTGGTCTCTTCCATTCCATTTTTCTTCCTTTGCAACATAAAAATACTTGATTGAAAGTAATGCTTGATGATTTCAACTTTAAAACAATTTTAAATTTTTAGTAAAATTAATTTATGTAAGGAGCAAAAATCTCATTAAGCTAGTGTAGATAATTAAAACAGTAATAATTCTGGATACAGATTAGTGTTTTATTATATAATGAAGAGGAGATAAAATTTATGGAGAAATCATAGTTCAATCCTTGCATCTTTATTAGCAGAATTCGTCCTTCAGTATAATCTTTTTTTTTACTTTTCAGATGACAGGACATTAAGTCCACTAATGATTGACCTGTAGTTTCTTTGTGAAATGTAGTTTTGTTGTTTTTTGGATGCAATCCGTTTTGTTTGCATAACCTACCTTATTCTTTTTGATTTTTATGTAAATATTCACATTTTGTTAATGTGTTTAGTTTGAAGATAAATTTTGCTTCGTTTCTCTTTAATTTTTAAGCTCCTAAAACCGTGCAATCAAGTCGAAACAATATTTAGAGTATAAATAATAAAGATATGCAATTGTTTGAATTGGGACTTGTAGTAGTATGTTATTTATTTGATAAAATTTGGTTAGTACAACTCAATATTTCAGCAAATCCTTTAAATGATGAAACAACTAAAGTCGGATTCGGTACAGCAATGTATACCACCAAGGCAAGAGCTTAGCAGTGCATTATAGATTATTTGCAGTCAGTAGAACATCAAGTTCTTCCTTTTAATTTCACACGATCGTTATATTAAATAGCTCGCATTAACAATCTTTCCCTACACTACTTTGTATACATAAAGGACCAATGTTTGTAGGACCTTTCTTAAAATTAGGGAGAGTTTTAAATTTGGGTCATTTCTGCACTTTCGCTCGATTTAATTAACAAAATTACAAAATTACAATCAAAGCAGCAAAAGTAATGAAATTGCCTGCGAAAACGTTTTGAAAGGGCCCTAAAAAGAAACCTAAAGTGGCCAAAGTAGCCAAATAACGACAACAATAATAACCCGAAATGTTTACCCATTTTTTGACTCCATTGATTCCAACTAGTTTTTGTTTTTGCTGTTGTATTAAAAATTTCTCAAAAAGTCAAAAATAGAGAAGTAAAAAAAGAATTGTTTAAAACATGCTCGACACACTTTCGTTTTATTTCACTTAGTATAATTTCACCATGTAGTGCCAATATTTGTACAAAAGTTTCTTGGCGCCTATTTTTATGCTTCAAAAAATTTAACATAACTTCCGTTTCCGTTTTGTTTCGAATATTATGGCATTGTAACATTTTGTTTGGTTTCTTTAACTAAAATACAGCGAGAGCGCGTGAATTGTTGAAACTGTCACTTTTCGTATCCTTTTTATGGCATGAAAATGTCCTGTTTCCAATGTTATCCGAAAGGGTCGAGCTGAGTTAAAATTTGCTTGTTTGTATTAAGGAATCTGTGTTTCTATGTGTAATCAACATAAGACCACTTTTGTGGCTAAAGGCTTAAGCATAACATTTGTCGTCCTACCATTTACCATTTACCATAGCATTTTGTTGTTTTTGTTTTTGGTTTTTGTGTTTTGTGTTTTTGTGTTTTGTTTCTGTTGTTGTTTGTTTTTGCTTTTGTACCATTTTTAAGTGGTTTTGTTTAGCAGACACTGAGAGTTAATGTGTTTGGTTAGCTCTTGTGTGTGTGTGATTTTAGGCGCAATAATTTAGATAAATTTGGCTGATTTGATAACATAATTTGTTAACACTTTTTGCTGCTATTGGGTAGGGTCAACATATATTTTCAATGGGTCAAAATTGAGCTCAGATAATGAACACTGGCAAAATGCAAAGCAACTTAATTAATTGTATTGCAAGCTCTTTGTATTATAAATCCTTGGAATGGCCCATTATATATATTGTGTAGAAGAATGGTATTGTGAATAGGATTAAGTAAAGGAGTTTAGAAACTTTAATAAAAGCTAATAAATATTAGGAGATAAAAGCATAAAGTTTATTTGAATTAAAGTAAAATTATTCAAGAGAAGGGTGTATTTAAAGGCATTCGAAGATAACCTAACGAAGAGACGGAGTAGTGAAAATTATATAATAAATATAAATTTTATAGTAAAATGGTCTTTGACTGCTTTCTAAATCTAAATCTAAAATTCTAAATCTTCTTTTAAAGTTACTTACTTATTTTTTTGCCCATAACAACCCGTTATTGGGTTTCGGCCTGACGCAGCACTACAGATTCGTACATCGAACACTGTTAGTGCTTCTCTATACAATTGATCTCTATGCCTTCTTTTGTTCAACCCATTCAAATGCGGTTGTCGCCAATAACTTGTAAATAATTATACCGAAGCACAGGTAGGATAACTTACCTGTAGAGCCCAATTTTTGTAAGTTTTGAGCTCTATATCCTATTGACAGTGATAATTCTTCTTTTGATTACCAGACTGACTT